TATGCTGGCCAATCAAAGGACGGGTTCAACGATTTCACTTTCGTATACACTGCCTGAGATATTGCGAAATTGGGGCAATACTGGTAGAGAGGTTGAAAGGGTTGTGTTGAAGTTTCAGAATTTGGGGCATTTTGTGAATGTTTATGGGTCTTTGGCAAATGGCGGTTCTTCGCCCTATCAGGTATGTTTGGACAAAAACAGATTTGCCCCAACGATTAAATATGTTTATGAAACCCAAAATGTCAATGACAGAGATGGGTTCGTTTTAGAGTTATGGAAGATTGTGAAAGATGGGATCACATTCCCATTGCTGATTGATCTTTGCGCAAAGGCTGGTTTGCCTGCACCACCGAGCCTTATGTGCCTTCCACCGGAGCTCAAAATGAAGATTCTAGAGCCACTGGCTGGTGTTGACATTGCCAAGGTGGGTTGTGTTTGTAAGGAGCTGCAAAATCTTGGTAATAATGATGAGTTGTGGAAGCAGAAGTACGCTGAGGAGTTCGGTAATGGTAGCGGAGGAGAAGGAACTGGAGGTGAAGGAACAGTGACTAACTGGAAGTTTAGATTTGTTGGAAATTGGGAGACTAGGAAGCAACAAATGAAAGCAGTAGTGAGGTGGAGATCATTTGAGAGGCCTTATTTCAACCGTATCAGGAGGGACCCTAACCCATTTGTACCTCCAAGGATTGGTGGAATAGTTGGTGGAGATTATGACCGCTTTCCACTCTTTGGTGCAATTGATCCTACTGGACAAGCACACCCTCTTCTACAACAACCCCGAAGATCTGGTATGCGGCGTAATTTTTCACCCAATTGCGATCTGGGAGGGTTCGATATCTGATCTGGTCGCTTGGAAGTTGCTGGAACTGAAGCTGCAGGTTCATGTTTCGTATGTGTAGTATATATAATAAGCATCTTGTTTAATCTCCAGCTGGTATTAAGACCAAGTTATCGTAAATTTTAGCTGTTTTATTTTTTTTCTTCTTGTTGATGTGTACATCGTTGTTTCTTATGTTGATTACAGTTGGATTTTGGATATAATTTGAAGTTAAGTTTTGTAGTTTTGGTGTTGGTCTCTCTGCTTTTGATGTGCATATAAGCCGCTCTGCTGCATTATTTTCCGAATTTTTATTTATTTCTGCCGGTGCTGAGTGCACACGGGCAGCTTCTTGTTTAGTTAAATTTGCTTGGTTATAAACTTCTAGGTAACATTCTGTTTAGACTGAATTGAACCACAGTTTTGAATAATCGTTATAACGACATCCACAAATCAAATTCAAAGGACAAGTTGAACATTCCCCTAGTGTTGCTTTAGTCTTAAGTGCTATAGTCTGTTGTTCTCAAGGAATAAGCTCTTTAACAAATGCATAAATTCGAGTCTCGGTACCCTTTAAGATTGAAAAAATTCCTCATCTTCTCTACCCTAACTTCAAACCGCGAACTTGAGCTGTGTAAGGAGGAAAGAGCTCTAACTATTTATTTCTTGCTAGGAACCCTTAAACACCAAAGGAGCTTTATATTTGACAAAGAGAGTGAAGAAACACACAAGAAACTGAAACTCAAAAATTCTCTCCTTAGTATCTCAATGTCTTCGCCTAAGTCGATCAAAGACAGTATATGGAGTGCAAGTTCAGTGCAAACAGAGGCTCAAATGAGTTAGGGGTGAGGATTGGAGATCAGGAAGTACCAAAAATCGACTGCTTTTGCTACCTAGGACCAAAAGAGACCTTAACTATAGAATACAAGTTGGATGGATGAAGTGAAAGAGTGCATCCGGCATGTTGTGTGATTGTCGTATGTCACTGAAACTCAAGGGAAAATTTTATAGGACGGCAATAAGGCTAGCAATGCTTTATGTGTAACAACCTGTTGCGGAATTTATGGAACGAAAGGGCATTTTTGTAACTTCACTAAGATTGGGATATTTATTTTGAAATGGGTTTGCTTTTAGGTCTTAAATGGTGAGCCGGGTGGGGTCCACTCACTTTTTGGTCCCCCAGCCTCTCTCCTCCCTTGTCTGCCACATGGCACAACCCCTTCCCCCCCAAAAAAAATATATCTCCTTTCTTTCTCTCTCTATGTTCCATTTATGTCTCTCTCCCTCTCGAACCTCTCTCTCTCCATCGCTGCATCATTTCCTTCCCTCGTGCACCACTCACCACCTTTACCCTTTAGCCCTGCGAGCTCCACGAACCCTGGAGCAAGGGAAGAACACTCAAACCTTCTCGTGTCTCATGGCACCGTGGTGTTGCCACTAGAATCTCTTGGATAGTGTTTTTATGCGAGTTTGGGACGATTTTGAGTTGTTTTGGGGACGTTTGTGACAGAAAACTACTCGGGGAGACTTCCCCAGATTTCCGGCGAGAATGCCATGAATTCCAGATCCTTCTCTAGCCAACTCCGACCACTACTTAGGAAATCAAAGGTATAATCCTAATCTATTCTTGTTTGTCTTCAATTTGGTGGGTAGATCATAGGTTATGGTAGAGAATCGAGGTTGACAGAAGCTTGGGAAGCTCCGGCTTTCGTCTCCATGAGAATCGGTCTGAAAACCGGGTTGACTTGACCCGGTAACTTAAAGCCCAAACCCATTAACCCTAAAACTCAAACCAAGCATTTATGCCATGGAACCCAGCCCAAACCTAAATAAGCCAAACTAAAAACCCATAACTGAACGGACCTAAACCCAGAACCCAGTCTGTGCGTGGGCTTGCACATGGCGCACGTGGGCGTCTGTCTTGGTCGGCACGTGGAGCACACACGCCTCCACCAGAGGTATTGTGCTCCACCGCCGTTCACGATGGCGCCGACGACTTTTCCGGCCAACTTTCCGACGACCCAAATCGGCGCATGGGAGTACCCAAGGTCCCCCCTTATGTTTTTCGACGTCCTAAATCCATTTATGACGTTCGTTTCCTGAAATTCAACTGTTTTAGTATAATTTTATTAATTGGTACCTTTATGTGCTTAGGTGCAATTGTGTATGGCGTTTTCATCCTTTCTTGTTTACATGGCTCTTCGACGGCAAAGTATCTATGAGTGGACCCCTTCTAAAATGCATATTTTACTATTAGAAATGCATACATGAAAAACATGATTTAATGGTTACGTTTTATGAAACGTTGATGAGTAAATTGGATTTACACTTTATGTTATATTATCATGTTTTATCGACTTTACGTTCTTTGTGGTATATATGATTGATGACTATATACCTACTTATGAACGTGGTTTTACGTTATGACGTTTTAGTTACTGAGCTCCGTTTATGATAACACTACTAAGCATATTATATACGATATATGTTTTACGCAAAGGTTTTATGGCATGCTAGGGTTAACCTATTACATATTATACTATTGAGTTTTCCTAAACTTTGGGGGTTAGTACGTTGATGAATAATTGTTTTAGTATTACTTATATATAAACTTGGTCCACTCATGTTTTGTTTTGCGCCCCCTCAAGACTTAGATTTGAGGCGTACAATCCTGGCATCGACATCTTCGAGTCCTCTCGGTGTAGGACCTATCTCTTTGTTCATTCAATTTTATATATATATATATATATATATATATATATTTTTGTCTCAGATTAGTTGTATGCTGTGAACACGTTCCGTAAATGCATATTCATTATAATTAAATTTACAAGTTTTAGTTATGTCGGTTAATTGTTTCTAGTTCTCATGCATCCTAATATGGCTTCGTCACCTTCGGGTGTCGCCTAGCACATGCCTACCCTGGTGTTTGGAGAATATTAGGGTCGGGCGTGTCATTATGGCACAGAATGTTGGACGGTGAAGCATCAACACGTACATAAAATGAGTGTAGGAGATATGAGAATACTTCGTTGGATGTGTGGGCACACGAGAAATGATAAGATTTGGAATGAGGATATCCGAGGTAAAGTAGGAGTAGCCGAAATTGAAGGAAAGATGAGAGAAAATCAGTTACGGTGATTTGGACATGTGAAATGAAGGCCTACTAACGCTTCAGTTAGAAGATACGATTACGGGAGAGAGGTTCAGGGTCGAAGGGGTAAAGGAAGACCTAAGAAGACTTTGGAAGAGATTCTAAGAAAAAACTTAGAGTACTTGGATCTAACGGAAGACGTGACACAAAACCAAGTGCAATGACGCTTTAGGATTCATATAGCCGATCCCACTTAATGGGAAATGACTTTGTTGTTGTTGTTGTTGTTGTAGTATCTCGAAACCTTAGTAAAAAGATTAAAGACTGCAAAAACCGATCATCGCTTGCATATTTCATTCAATGTACAAGACAATCCATGTGGTTCATGCAATGCAAGAACCAACTCCTTTACATGGAGATGAACTCATCTTCAATTTTATTCGGACTTCCTATTGAAATCTCAATTGTATCGGTCTCCCCGACGCATTTCGTCAGGGACAATCCTAATTTCATAGGATCGACTTTGCGGTTCTCGTGAACTACCAACTTGTTTGGTATCTATTCTTCTTCAACAAGACATTCTTTGGGCGAATTGGGTGCTAGGAGAAATTCTTATGTCCCGGAGGACTACATCATTCCGGTTCTTGTTTAATTGTATTTCATGGGCGTACGGATGACGTTTTTCTCTGTGCGGACCCAAGAATTTCATGAATGCTAGCACCCGAAACCAACATAAGATAACTAAAAATCTTCACAAAGATACGCACCCCCCAAACAGATCAAGTAAAACAGAGGCTATATAGCAGCATACCCAAACCCAAGTCCACGTTAAAACAGAGGGTTTTTTATTTAATTATTTAGAGTAAGAAGTACAAAATTTTTAATTTCCTAGATTTGTGTAAGTTTCCAAGAACCATTTCTCTTTTCAGAGCATGCAATAATGAGACGTATCGAAGTTACTTTGTTCTAAAATGGTATACTCCACGTGATCCCAACGTGTAAAGATGACTTGCATTTCATCTGCATTCTCAAAATTTTATTATATTCCGATGTATCTTATATTCCGTCCTTTTTAATCGTTATATCTTGTCATTGATCTTTGACCAAGGATTTAACGGTCAAAAATTCCAGAGTATAGTTACCAGGGCATACAAGAAAATCGCACTCGTTCTTCTATAAAATTGGCTCTGACATTTTCTCCTAATTATACAAAATATTTTATACAAGTGACAGCAAGCTTCTAAGTTTAGTGCAGAGAGAGAAATGGTGAAAGGACAGAGAACCTACAGAGCTCACTGCTTGATTTTACCCTATCCAATCCAAGGCCACATTAATCCCATGCTCCAATTTGCCAAGCTTTTAGACCACCGAGTGGAAGTCACACTGGTGACGACTCGCTACATCTACAAGACAATGCAAGGGTTGGGATTGAGCTGCTTGTCGTGGGAGACCATCTCCGATGGCTTCAATGAAGGTGGGATGCGAGAAGCAGGAACCGTAGATGCCTATGTGGAAAGCTTCTGGATAGTGGGGTCGAGAACTTTTAGTGAGCTTCTTGAGAAGCTCTTGAGCTCAGCGTCCCCGGCTGATTGTGTTATTTATGTTTCCTTCATTCCTTGGTCTTTGGATGTCGCCAAGAAGTTCGGAATAGCTGGGGCGGTTTTCTTCACTCAGTATTGTGCTGTTGGCAGCATCTACTACCATGTCCACAAAGGGCTTTTGAAGCTTCCTCTTGCAGATGATCAGTCTCAAATTTCTCTTCCTGGGTTGCCACCACTTGATCCTTTGGACTTCCCATCGTTTGTTTACGACTTGGGGTCTTACCCGGCTTTCTATGAACTGGTTGGGGGACAGTTGTGCAATGTTGACAAAGCTGATTGGGTCCTATGCAACACATTTTATGAGTTGGAAGAACAAGTCCCTCTCTCTCTCTCTCTCTCTCTCTCTCTCTCTCTCTCTCTCTCTCTCTCAGTATATTAAACTAATTGCATACTAATTTTCTGCTCAGTTGGTGGATTGGATGGCTAAGCTTTGGAGATTGAGGACCGTAGGACCGTAGGAGTCTCAAAACTCCTACACAACGTACGAATGCCAAGTAGATTGTGGATGTTTGGAAAATAGGGGTTACAGCTCCAACTGAAGAGAAAGGGGTTGTGAGACAAGAAGTAATAGAACATTGCATAAATGAAGTAATGGAGGGAAAGAGAGGGGAAGAAATACAGAAGAGCGCTGCAAAATGGAGAGAATTGGCCAGAAAGGCGGTGGCTGAAAGCGGAAGCTCTAACAAAAACATTGACGAGTTCATTGCAAAACTGGAGGTCCAAAGTTAGTGCTCAAGTCCAACAAAATCGAACTGAATCGAATATTTGTGTTTGTAAGGAGCTGCTAAATCTTGCTAATAATGATGCGGTGTTGAAGAAAACGTATGCCGAGGAGTTTGGGAATGAGTATCAAAGGAGAAGGAACTGCGACTAAGCTAGCGGTTTAGGTTGGTTGTAAAATGGGAGACTATCAAGTAACAAATGAAAGCGGTAGTGAGGTTTAGGATATTTTATTAAGGGGAATGCTTAGCAAATTATGTTTTGTTATTGATGATTGATTTATTACTGTTTTAATAAAAATACTTATTTCTTACAAGTGATACATCACATTTTACAAATATAATATAAAAAGATAATATTTCAAACATTAGTTTTTTTTTTTGGACAAACAAACCACACAATAAATCAATCAACCATAATAATGTAATATCGAAGTCGTCATCCAAAAAAGTCAGAATCTAAAGACTCTCGGTCTCACCTACAATTGGAGGGTAATTGGACTTCAGAGTTTGCAACAATGTGAACGTGTAACGAGCTTTGAGCTGGGTAAGAGTAGTGTTCCCCCTTCAGCAAACCCAATCTCTAACTAACAAGTCACTGCATCTCCTGATTCTCCTCCTCCTCCTCCTCCTCTCTACGCCATGCCGTTGTCGGCCAGTCTCTCTCCTCCCTCTCTCTATTACTTCCCCCAAACACAACACCACCAACCACAACACCATCTCCTTCACTCTCTCCATCCCCATCTCAAACCCAAAACACTCACCCTTCAATTTCAATCCCCCCGAGCCTCAAGACGATCCCCTAATTACCCTCAGGTCCTACCTCTCTCTCTCTCTCTCCCTCTGCAATTCTAATCAATTAACCCTTCGGACTTCATTTCACAGGGCGGCGGTGCCGATAATCTCGCCGACGACCCCCGCAGTTGGGGCCGTTCGATCAATTCCAAGGTCGATCGGCGCTACGATTTTGAGGACGACGACGAAGACGATGAAGATGACGAGGACGACGAAGAAGACCGGAGTTTGGATTTGTTGGTGAGGTTTGTTCAGAATGTGTTCAAAAAGGTGTCCAGGCGTGCGAGGAGGGCCGTCCGATCAGTTCTCCCCGTCTCAATTCCCACCAAGTTGGTAATCATCTGATCATAAATTTGGCTCCTATTACCTTATATTCATTAAGAAAGATTGGATTTTTAAAGTTGAATTGTTAAATTGTTTTTCGTTGTTGGTTTGGCTTTCATATGTATAGGTGGGATTTTCTGTTAATGGGGTGCTAATGCTAGCATTCTTGTGGGTCTTGAAGGCGTTTCTTGAGGTAATATGTATATATATGTATACATTGTGTAATTTTACATTCATGTATCACAGACTTCCGTCTATTTGCTTATCAATATGTTCTTGTTGGTCTTAATTTCCTTTTTTGAGCTGTTGAAAAAAGGATATAAATAAGTCGTCGTCTCCAGGATACAGTTCATTGGATGGTACTTTTGCAAGACACATGATAATAATTGAACAGCATAGGTGATTTAGGACCGTTGTAGATACTGATTCATCTGAAACGAAAACTCAGTAGGTAAGGTGTCATAGGGAAAGTGGCCCACAATTCATGGGCATACCAACATTCACACTTACTCAAAGTGGCTCGAGCTGCAGACTGCAGTTTCTGATGCAGCGTTTTCTGATAATAAGCTCTAGAACAATGCCTTTTTCAAAAGCTTGATCTTTTGGCGAGGCACTGAATTTTCTACGTTTAGAAGGCCTTCAACAGATTGAAATTATACAGTTATTAAACTGTCAAGATAGAGAGAAACTTTAGGATTTCGATAGTTGTTTAAGTATAAGCTTTTCGAATCATCCTGTTGTTATAGATGGTATTCTTATTGAGGGCTCTCACTTGAGATGTCATACTTAAAATTACATAAAAAAAACAGCAATCAAATTCTTATATTAGTGTTTGCATTGGCGATGAGTATATTTGTGTTTAGTGATGATTTTTATGCGCTACCTGAAGGATTTCCTAATAAAATCTCGAACTTTCTTTGTGTTCGTGTTAAATCCAGGTTGTCTGCACCCTTGGAAGTCTAGTGTTCGTAAGCATCTTACTCATTCGTGGGATATGGACTGGAGTAGCCTATTATCAATATAACCGCAATCAGAAACCCCGCAATTTTGAAGACGACAACCGTCCATGGGCGGGCGCACAGCCCGCAACCTGATACTACCATTCAGAGGAGAGATCTGCTGAATTATAATTTCACACCAGATAGGAGTATACAATAAAGGAGGAACACTTGAGAAATCAAGGATGATGGGAAGATAGCATTAAAATGTGTTTGACCATAATCATTGTTCTGGCCTTCAAGGAGTTTTAAGTATGATGTAACTTCCTGCCTTAATAGATAAACGAAGGTTTGTTATTGTACACAGGTATTCTGTCAAAATTCAAAATTTTCATTGGGAGCTTTCTTTCATTTTCTTCAATGAGATTTGAACTAAGGAGTCGGGAGAACTTCCGATCAACTTCGGCTTTGAGACTGAGAAGTGAGAAGACTGGAAAAGAGAACGATGGTGGTGGAGATTGGGAGGGAACGGTGGTGAAAGAGATTGGAGAGGGAGAGGGAGAGGGTTCGTTGAAGTGAGAAAGATGAGTGAGTTTGAGAGACAGAGATCGAGTGGGGAGAGTCGAGGCCTGAGGGGGGACACATCAAGTTGACCGAGTCCATGTGAACTCGGATAAACACCAATGAACCAGGTCACATGGTGACGATTTTAATAAAATAAAAAAAATCGATTCAGTTCGTTTCGATACCAACTTTGGAACCGAAACAAAACAATCACAAAACCAAGCCTATCTTGTACTATACCCAATAAGTCGAAAAAACCGAACCGACCGAATTTTTCCAGTTCAGTCTCAGTCCGGGTTCGGTTTCGATTCTCGAAACTTTATGCCCACCCCTAGTTGGGATTTCCTCTAGCAAATTGAAGATTGAGTGTTGTTGAACTAAATAATTATATGTTAATTTGTACGCATTTAGATTTGACTAGTTTACACTAATTGGTAGCAAAAATCTCATTTTCTTTCTTTGCACACCCATAATTTTCAGTAGTGGCAAGAAGGAAAAATATGACAGTGATATGTAAATGACGTGGGAAAATTATTTATCAATCCCAAGGGAAAAGGTCTTCGCTAGTTGTCAGTGAGAGAGACTTGTATCTGGGTGGTTGGATCGGGTCCCGGTATTGCTTTAGTTTGCACATGAAATATGGCAACGCCATTTGTCCTTCCCGCACTTTTCTCATCATCATCACCGTCCTTGTTTTTGTGTCACATCCAATGTACAAGGCCAAGCCATCTCAATTTTCCAATTTCAGATACATTTTTAATCACTTTGATGAAAATATAAAAACTAAGTTATGTAAAAACTAATTTGTAATTCAAACAATTTTACTTTGATGAAAGTATAAAAACTCAATTTGTTTGAAAAAATTGGTTTATGAATGATTACGCGTATTTGATGTTTAATTTAATCTTAATGGTTAGGGTTCTAGGGTCTTCTCTAATCTTGGGCTAAAACTCAATTTCCACTTTTATTTCCTCCCAAACCCAACCCAACCCAATGCTAAAATGTGACTTAAAACCTAAAACTCAAATAGAAGCCAAATACCAGCCAGAAAATAGGCCAAAAGCACTAATGGAGCCCACCAATATGCGTGAACTTGCCTGATCTTCGGCCGGTTGCAGCCCACCCACTCGTCCCGCTTTCCACACGCAGGCTAAGGCCTTCAGCGCTCGACATGGGGGGGACCACTGTCAGGCAGCAACTGTGACAACCGTTCCAAATTTTACGTTTTTATTTTATTTTAAAAGCGTGAATTTACGAAATTGCCCTAGAGGCAAGGACTTTGACTTCCGTTGACCATCAACTTGAGAGATGTGAGACTTATTCTTTTAGCATATCCTCGTAGTACTCGTTGGTACGAACATATAGGCGAAAGTCGTTTGCGAGTCCGGATTATAACGGTATAGTTACGGACGTTCAAAATTGGTTATTCAAGGTTTAGTGTTAATTAAATTAAATCCCCACATTTTGTGGGGTGAAGCCAAAAATCAGAAATGAGAAAAAAAAAAAAAAAGGAAAGAAAGAAAAAAAGGGGGAAAAGCTCCCGTGTGTTCCGTTCGTACACCTCTTCGACTACCCATCTTTCAAGGCCGATTCCGGGCAACTCCGGTGGAGTTTTTCGATGCCACCACCACCATCTTGAAGCTCTCACTCCCCTCTACAAAACCCACCCAAGAACCACCTTGATTAACCAGGGTATGTGGCGGTTTGAGGCCACGAAAGTTGACTAAAATCAATAGTGCTCCGGCCACCCTTTTCGATTTTCCGGCAAATCGGCAAAGCGATGGCCGATGCCACCACTTGGGCTTTGTAGCCCATCATCCCAGGAGCAAAACCCAACCAACCTTGTCCCCATTGGACCACCGTAGACGACGAATCGACGTCGGGAAGTTTTAGGCACCCGCCGGCTTTGTGGGCAAAATTGACCATTTTCCGTCCACTTTTGGACTTCGTGGCAGGCAACCATAGATCGTGATGTCTCGATGTGCGTGCAAGATAATCATAGCGTGGACTCCAGGTGAGTGGGCCTTTTTCTTTCATAGGCATATAATTGATAGTTCCACAAGCACTTCTATAGTGATTTATGCTTGTTACCTACAATTAATCATTTCGAACTACGAATGGCTTGATCCCTGTTTAGGGTACGTAGGCAGTCTAACAAGACGTTAGATGCAACCATATAATAAATGAAATTAAATAATTGAGACAATAGCTTATTTAGTGAATTGAGCAATGTGAGGAACATTGGTGGGAAGTGTGAGATTTAGCTTTTATGATTTGGTGATTAAATGTTGATCATGAATCAATGCGTGAAGAATCAAGAAATTGAAGTAAGGAAAGGTAAGTAATAATAGTTAATGTAACTAGGGTCTAATTGGGCTTAACACTGATGATTACTCTCAAAAGTAAATAGTTTGGGAGTAGGGTGTTATTGATTGTACATGTTACGCCGTATTATATATTTTGGGAATATCATGAAATGCTTAGGTTTAGATTGCACCATGGCATATTCATATGGACAATACCTGGACTTGACTATTGTGAATGTTTTGAAGTGCTATATGATGCCGCGGACGCCCAGGTAAGCCTCAGGTGAGTACATGTTGATGTTAGTGATGTTAGTGAGTATGATTGTGTGGATATATAATATAGCTCATAAACCTGCACCCCGGTGTTAGTGCTCCCGCCCGTGGCCAGGGCACAGTTCTTCACGTGATGTTCACCTCCCGTACCTTACGCTCACCTTGGATCCAAGGTAGGTGCACAGTCCTGTCTTACATACCACTTTAGGTGGTTCCGACTCGTAGGTGACCCGCGATTATTCGCACAGTCTTCACGTGATCATAGCACTTGAGCGTATTTATTTACACCCAGTCTTGTCGTACAGACCACTTTAGGTGGTTCCGACTCGTGTGCAGGTATACTTATTGAGCTATATGCTAGCCATGATTGATGAGATATGAATAAGTCGTACAAGTCACTATAGGTGACTCCGACTTATATGCTAGCCATGATTGATGAGATATGAATAAGTCGTACAAGTCACTATAGGTGACTCCGACTTATATGCTAGCCATGATTGATGAGATATGGATAAGTCATACAGGTCACTATAGGTGACTCCGACTTATATGCTAGCCATGATTGATGAGATATGGATAAGTTGTACATGTCATATTAGATGACTCCGACTGATATATCATTTTGTATTGATTAAGTTCATTTGGCCTACTTATTATTGCATGGTGGAGTTGATGGCAAACCGTGGTTCTGGCCATTTCTGAGTATGGTTTGGATATATGTATATATGTTGTATTGTTTTATGGAAAACGATACGGGTTTTAAATTTAGGGGCATTACTTTTAGAGAGGTAATAACTTTGGGAAGCTTGGTTTTATTGCTTACTTACACTCTCTGTTTGGTGCCCTCCAGGTTTTAGCTGCTGAGTTTGTATCGACAAGGATATGTGGCGAATCTTAGTATTGATGGATATTTTTGAGGGTATGATTCTTACCCACACTCCTGTACCTTACTTATGCTCTGACATTGTGCGTGAAATGGGTTCGCTCCCGCTCACAACACACTCTGGTATTAAAAATTTTTAGGTTCAAATTATTCACATTTTTCTACACTCTATCACATTTTATGGTTTCGTCACCTTCCAGGTGTCGGCCAGCACAGCTCGATTCAGGGTCCAAGTGGACTTTCTGGGTCGGGATGTGTCAGCAACGGTCCAAATTCAAAATTTATTTTTTATTTATAAATAATATATTTTAAAATACATTTAATCCAACAACTTAGATCGAATATAATCAAATCTAACAGTAAAAAAAAAAGATCTAACGGCCCAAATTTAAATCCAACAACTAAAATAATTTAAAAAAATTATTAATTGTGCTTCATATTAATTTCGTATTCTTCCATAGTGTTTCATGTATTGATTTAGTGATTTTTCAATATTTATCGAAATTTAAATATTTTTAGATTAAAATGTTCATAAAATTAATTCACGATAGTCTACATAATTTTTTTTTATACAAAAGTTAATTTAAGAAAAAAAAAATAGCCTAAATTCATTTTTTAATAATCTGGGGCGAAAATTTTAGGCCATAAGGGTTGGAGTAGGAAAAGCTGTTTCTGGGCTAAAAACTAAAATTTTTGAGCTAAAAATTTTAGGTTTTACGCCAAGGGTTGGAGATAATCTAAGTGTAGCAGTTAGGCAAATTAAGAGGCTAATCAAAACTCAATCTTTTTCACCATGGTTGATGAGATTGCCTAAATTGATTGAATCGAGCTCAAATCATAATGTTTTCTAGTCCCATCCATGAAAAGATTGAAAATTAAGTTATTTTCAAGCGAAGTTTGGTTGAACCCATCAATGTTTTACCCTAGTATTTCTTTTTGGGAAAAAAAAAAAAACCTACTTTTACCATATATTTGTATCGTAGAGATGAGACTTACATATGTTGGTGGGCCCTACTTCTATTAGGGATTGTAAAAATATGTCAAAGTGTATCATTACTCATTTCTTTTACACAAGCAACTACTGGAGGATGGGAAATCCAATATAAGGCCTCGAATGTAGAGGTAAATACTTTTAACCATGTGAGTTCTCACTGTTAAATCCATTTATGAATTCAAAAGGGAAAATTGATACTAGCATTCCAAAAATCTTATCATTACACTCCTCATAAATGTATTTTTCTTACTAATTATAAAAAGTTTAAAGTGTTAAATGAGATTTTAAAGTGCCAATAATAATTCGCATTTAAAATTAAAACAATAAATTAAATAGAAGAGAAAAGAATGGAGAGGATTTTACCCTTTGAAAATTAATGGGCCTTGGGCCTTGGGAGTCATATTTCAACGACAAACTCCCTTCGGGCGGCAAAATTTAATTTTCAAAAATCAAAATATAAGAGAGAGAAAGGATAACCGCGGTTAAAAGAGGGTGGTTACGCCAGGCCAGCATCGCATCAGAGACAGCCCACCACTCAATCCTTGCCGTCCGTTCCCTCCCAATCTTTAACCAAACCCTAACCCCACCTCTGGTTAAATTTCGCATCTCCTCTCCCGCATTTCCACCTATAAATACCTCCCCAAACCACCACCCAATCCGATCTCATCAGAAAACAAAGAGGATTTCACAGAGGGCGTCTTAATAAACGCCTTCGACTCTTCGTCTCCCTGTACGTGCGAGCCTCTCGTTCTTCCATCTCTTTCGTTTCGTTTTGCGGTTTCAACCGGGAAAGATGAGGGAGTGCATTTCGGTCCACATCGGTCAGGCCGGTATCCAGGTCGGCAATGCCTGCTGGGAGCTTTACTGCCTTGAGCATGGCCTTCAGGTATCCTCTCAATCTCTCTACCTACATTTCTCTATTGATTTTGTTCGTATGCACATTTGCGTTTTGTATCCGTGATTTGTACGGTTTCTTTTAGATCTGTGGCTTTTGCGCACCGATTCGTCGTGATTTGTATGGATCTGTGATTTTATCTGCATTTGGCTCGGTTATCAATCAGATCCGTGTTTTTTGAGAATCAGATACACATAGAAATGTTAATTTTGATTTGTATTCGAAAATTAATCAAAAGTAACATTACTATTATTTTCAAATCATTCGATTTTCCTTGGATCTATGATGTTATTGTTATTGACAGTCAAATTATATTCTCAGTAAATTCAAATTTGGATTGTAATTATTCGTTAATTCAACGGATTTTGTTCTTCGATTATTTGTGATGTTATTCGGTGAAATCGTCAATGACAATAGATTAAAGGCTTGTTTCTCAAGAACATTTGCGGCTTTCGCCTTTTGCCGGGCTTGAGGGCTTGTGCTGCTTTTATCCTTCCTCTATCCTTATGTATATGATTATAGTTTGAAACCTTGTAATTCATTGGCATTTGTACATACGTAAATTTGTAGTGTTTTTTTTTTTTTTTTTTTTTTTTTTATTAAATTGGATTGGTAGATTAGTTGCTAATTCTCTGTGTTATTTTACAGCCTGATGGCCAAATGCCCGGTGACAAGACTGTTGGCGGAGGTGACGATGCCTTCAACACATTCTTCAGTGAAACTGGAGCTGGCAAGCATGTGCCTCGTGCTGTGTTTGTTGATCTTGAGCCCACCGTGATTGATGAAGTGAGGACTGGTACCTACCGCCAGCTCTTCCACCCTGAGCAACTCATTAGCGGCAAGGAAGATGCTGCCAACAACTTTGCCCGTGGTCACTACACCATTGGCAAGGAGATTGTTGATCTCTGCTTGGACCGCATCCGGAAACTTGCTGACAACTGCACTGGGCTTCAAGGTTTCCTTGTTTTCAATGCTGTTGGCGGAGGAACTGGCTCTGGTCTTGGTTCACTTCTTTTGGAACGTCTGTCTGTTGATTATGGAAAGAAGTCAAAGCTTGGGTTCACTGTGTATCCATCTCCACAGGTGTCTACATCTGTGGTTGAGCCCTACAACAGTGTCCTCTCAACCCACTCCCTCCTGGAACACACCGATGTTGCAGTGCTCCTTGACAATGAGGCTATCTATGATATCTGCAGGCGCTCTCTCGACATTGAGCGACCCACCTACACCAACCTCAACCGTCTTGTGTCTCAGGTACAGAAAAGTATCTGGTTTATAATTTCGAGTACAGAATTTAGATCACATTGCTTTTTTACGAAGTGATTGTTACTAAATTTTGTTTCTATTTGGTTTTCAGGTCATTTCCTCCTTGACTGCTTCTCTGAGGTTCGATGGTGCCCTTAATGTGGATGTGACTGAATTCCAGACCAACTTAGTTCCATACCCCAGAATCCATTTTATGCTTTCCTCATATGCACCTGTCATCTCTGCGGAGAAGGCGTACCATGAGCAACTCTCAGTGGCTGAAATCACCAACAGTGCCTTCGAGCCCTCATCCATGATGGCAAAGTGTGACCCCCGTCATGGCAAATACATGGCCTGCTGTCTGATGTACCGTGGTGATGTTGTGCCCAAGGATGTGAATGCTGCGGTCGCCACCATCAAAACCAAGCGCACCATTCAGTTTGTGGACTGGTGCCCCACCGGATTCAAGTGCGGTATCAACTACCAGCCACCCACTGTCGTTCCAGGAGGAGACCTTGCCAAGGTCCAGAGGGCTGTGTGCATGATCTCTAACTCGACCAGTGTTGCTGAGGTGTTCTCCAGAATTGACCACAAGTTTGATCTCATGTATGCCAAGCGTGCCTTTGTGCACTGGTATGTGGGTGAGGGTATGGAGGAAGGAGAGTTCTCTGAAGCCCGTGAGGATCTTGCTGCCCTTGAGAAAGATTATGAAGAAGTGGGCGCAGAGTCTGCTGAGGGCGAGGATGATGGAGAGGACGAGTACTAAGCGCCTGAACTGAAGTTTCTATCGCGTGTTGTTTTGCTATTTGAATAATAATATGATGATGCCTTGTGTGTCATCTGGTTGTTGTGTGTTTGTGAACTTGTGGTGGAGTTGTTGCGTTTGCAATGCTATTTGAGTAATAATGTGATATATGATATTCCGCATTTCCATTTGACAATGAAAGAGACCGAAACTGAACCTGTTTGGTACCTGTTTTGGGGGTTTTCCCCGCTTGTTTTCTTAGTCTTGAATGGAGCTCTCAATAGCACAACACTGAATTTGTTCACAAAACGTGCATAATGGAACTTCATCCATCAAGTTGGGTTTTTGTTATAAATCATAAAAATTGAACTCGACATTGTTCACGGCATATTATGCCAGAACAGCGTCGCATTGCATTTGAGCATAAGATTGGAGACAGAAATAAAAAGAAAACAAAGTTATCGATAAGTTTGAGATTTATACAGTTTGAAGGAATAAAAAAGAGCCTAGACAATAGTTGGCCGGAACCTGTATTTGGATTCTAAGTTATGAGAAGGACTTGCGCTTCACTTTACACGTGGTGCTATTTGAGAAATCCTTTCGTCTTCCAGAAGTTCATACGGATCAATGTATTGGGGTGGTGACATCGGCAAACTGCTTCCGTCATGGACAAAAGTCGATCCAAAGTACTGCCCAAGAAGATTGAAGGATCAGTGTCTTATACTTAATACAATGAAAACAGTCACTAACCTCTCTCTCTCTACTGCCTAAAGGTCAAACAATCACAAAATTTCTCTCATTAACTCTCCTAATCCAATCAACTTATATACATCATTGAAATACGCTCTCCTATTTACAAAATAGTAATGATTTCACCGAACGTGCATCTACCTTGAAGAAACCTTACCATCATTATAAGAGCAGTTCCTGACTATATCCCAACCATGTTTAAAGTAACAAACGACGGGTGAATAACAATAATTGTTGTCCTACATCTTTACAGGTTAAACTTTTGAGAATAGTGGTAAATTATGAAAACTTTAATGTAGTATCAAACCGGAGTTGAGCTCTTCAGTGATAAGGACAGGCTCCCTCACATCCTAACAACTTAAGTTTTAGGGGATAATACACTAACAAAAACTTAATAACAATGAAGCAAACTGCAAACAAAAGCCGAAGGAATTGACACTTGTCATAATACACAGGCCAACGTGTCTGGACGGCAAGCAAGATTAAAATCATGAACAAACTTAAGGCCAAGGAAGAGAGTTTACCAAGTAGAGAGCAGAGAAGAGTGCTACAGTTATGAGGATCAATGGCCAAAACCCCAAGAAGAACGTCCCTCCGATTGTCAGCAAGAGTCTGGCCCGAGGGATTAACCCCTGTAAACAAATGAAGTTATGAACATTCCTTGAGCTTCTGCAAGTCTATTGCCACATGTACAAAGCAACACCATTCAAGTAAATAGGGCAGTGAATTGTGCTGAAGCTAAATATATAGTTTTGAAAGAATAAAACGTTACTCGTACTACTAATTTCATGAAAACTATCAAACTAACGGTTACTGCAAACGTAGGATATGGTGCGCCAAAAGCTCATATTAGATTGATTTTACAATCATCTAACACAACAAAACCAATAACGAAATAAAAGTGATTCAACCTCAAGGCCTTCGCTGTTCAACTGCATGGACCGCTCCCTTTGATTTGCTAGGCTTTTCTCAATTTCGGTTGAGACAGCATTTCTAGCCGAGAAACCTCTATCTTCGTTTCTCATCTCCTCATTCATTCCATACTCAGTCCTCTCTTTTCCCTCAAGCAAAGAAGTGGGATTCATACCCCTCCTCCTTAATTCCTTCATAAACAACGACTCCGGAGGTTCTTCACCTGAAACATAAACTTACAACTCAGGAACATACAGATTCTACCATTCCCTTGACATCCTTTAATCTAAATCCAAATAACTCCATTGTTATCTGCCCACAAATACTATTAAAATTCAATCTTTGTGCTCAATTTACAAAAAGAATTATTCTTTCAGATTTAACCACCCAGTAATTAACAAACCTTTTTTCTAAGTAAAATTAAACTGACCAAATATATAGACAATATAAATTTCATCACACAAACTAATCAAACCGATATTTCAAAACAACTCTTTGCATGCAACCGAGTTCGAATCACCCGCCTCGGAGTTTAGATTAATTTAAAGTAGAATATCGCTCGTATCAAAATAACTTCTCAAAATCTCAACAAAACAACTGATTAACCCCAACTTTTACTTGCTCAATTAGAACCAGAAAATAATTACGAAAAGCAAGAGAGAGAGAGAGAGAGAGAATTTTGAAGAGCTCACCATTGCTTTTGCTGTCAGATTCTTGAGCTTTGCAGCAGACCCCAAACCGCCTCCTATTTCTCAAGTGATATCCGTACCCTCTGTATCCTGACAACCTGATTAAACTTTTCCTGGACTGAAATTCCGGGAAAACCCAGCTGGATTTTACGGGAAAATTCGACTGGGAAACTGGGATTGGAGAGAGGGAGCACTTCAACATTTGAACAGACGCCATTCTCAATGGAAAAATAATCTCATTTCGCTGCCGATAGCTAAAAGAAAGAGGAAAATAAGAGATTTTTTTTTTTTTTTTTTTCCTGAGAGCGAAGGCTTTGTTCAGAGAATCAGAGGTGAAGAAGCAAGTGGCGACAAGGTGTACGGGTATATTATAGCGGCGGAGAGGTGTTGGCGGCTATCTTGCGCGGGAGATGGCGTGGTCTGCTTCGTGTGGCTGAAAGTTGCGGTCAGAGAGGTGGAGTAAGATTCTGGAATTTTTTTATGTCTAGAACACGAGTTCATCACATCACATGTCATTATATAAGTTGATCAATATTTTATTTTTTAAGTTGTTACTTTTTTAATACAAGTACCTTATTACTTATATAGTGACACATGTATATCAATCCGTGTATCTCTCCTCCCCTCCAATCCTTTCTTATTAAAATGATTACGATTAAGCTACGTACACATCTTGTGTGACTTTTTCTTACAGAGAGAAAAAAGGTAAAATGAAAGAGAAGTGGAGGGTAATGATGAGAATTTGGAAGAAAAAGAATCTTACTTAGAGAGGACGTTATTATTCTCACATTTTTTTGCCCCTTTACTACTTTTTAAGTATTATGAAATACACACTTTGCTACCTTAGTTTTTTTGTCTCAATTTCAACATAAATTTTGATTTGTCTGCTACTTTAAAATTTTCATAGGACTTTTCGTTAAGTTTTCTGTTAAGTAATGACATGTATAACTTTGGCCACCACATGTGTCAAGAATTAGCACTAGACACAGTGGCTTAGATTTACAAGTGAATCTCTCATATACATGACGAATATAGTGGGCCAAAGTTATGTCACTTATTATTATGGTCCAGTGGTATTCCTTTTCATTTGTAAGTGAGAGGTCTTAGGTTCAATTCTCTCCAAAGACGAATTTGAAACATATTATTTCTGGTCCATTGTGAGGCTAAGCCCACCCCCTCCCCTTTAGTGTAGATAATATCGTTGTTAAAAAAAAAAGTTATGACATGTCCTATTTACTAATTAATTAAACCTTCTTTGTCAATCAAAAGATGATGAAAAAACAAATTAATCTTCTATCACCCAAAAAAAATGATGGGCAATAATGTAATTTCACAGATTCAAATTTTACTATTTTTTATTGAAACCCTACCTATATGTGATGTTAAAATACCTCAAATATTAAAAAAAAAAACTAAAAACAAAAACCTCCCACTCCCCCATGTTCTCTCTCTCTCTCTCTCTCTCTCTCTCTCCCTTTCTCCTCATTTTCTAAAAAAATGTGTTCATACAAACAAAGTGTGTAGGCAAATGCTAGTTACTTAATAAAAAATTTGACGGAAAGCCTTAATGAAGTATTAAAGTATCACAAAAATCAAAATTTAGATATAAATTGAGACGAAAAAAATTAGGGAATTTTAACGAAACACTCTCGGTACTGTTCACTTTTAACGAAAATGACAATTTTACTCTAAAAAGTTACTCATGGTATTATTCACTTACAACACATTTTTGTCCTTTTGATTAAAACTCAAAGTTTTCAAGTATTTTTCATTAGTTTTCCTAAAAAATTAAGGATAGCAAAGTACAAATTTCATGATACTTGACGGTTACAAAGTAAGAATCACCCTTTTTTTTTTTTTTTTTTTTTTTTGTGTGAATCGGAGTATTTATTTATTCACATAATTGGAAAAAATATAATGATATTTTCTCTGTTAATTTGTCTTAATATATTTGTTACTTCCTAGTAAAAACAAAAGCAATGACGTTGTAACAGTGATTCTAATTTTCTTTTTCGAATAAAATCTTAATTTAATTTGTTTATTTCTTGTTTGGTTTTGAAATACAACTATATATTTAAACCACATACTAATCATTGAAGAAAAAATATTACAAAAATTGTTGTGTTAGTGACAATCTAGTTTGTTTAGTTTAATCCCTGATTTGATGATTTCTATGTTTGCAGGAGTCTTATTACGCACAATAACTCTCACAAAACTATTAGGCAATTTGGCACTAGTCCTATCACCTCATTTTCTTAGATAGTGAATACTAGAGGTATAAGATTTTGATATGATCAGCAGTTCTTGTGCTAGCGGTATTTCTCTTCTCAAATTTGGAGGATGACTACCATTTGAATCCCCTTTGCTCGTTGATAAAAGAAAAATCATCTTTACATGGAAAAACAAATCGTATCATGTCCAAATAATATATACGGGAGACGTGAGGAGAAGTATCTTATATCAAAGCTATAACTAAAGTGGGACATACATTGGTAGAAAGGTTTTAGGACCTTTCTTTAACATGTACTATTACTCTAAGAGCTAGTTGATTATATTTTCGTTCATATTGCTCGTTTGATTTTGATTGGATTATGTTGCTTAAGATGGTTCGCAATTTTGTCTTTATAAAAAAATGGGAATAATCATCTTCAATCAAACATGCCCACGTCAGTGGATCACATTGACATTGTAATGACATGGTATCACAATTATCTAGATGTCTAGATACAATATCCAACTCATATTGGAAATATATATATATATATATATATATATATATAAAGGGAGAAGGCCAGTTTGGTGAAGCTTTCTAAAATACCAAGAAAGCCCCTTTGTTTTCTTCACAATCCAAATCCACAAAAATCGGAAAATGGGGACAAACTGGTAAAAAAAATAATAGAGTATAAAATTATCTTAGAAAATTAAAAAAGCAAATTAAAAAAATACCCATCTTAACTATAACAATTGACAACCGCCAGATGAAAATACTTGCACTTCAAATTCATTTTGACCCTTGGATTAATCCTTCCACAAATACTGCATTGTGTTTTTCCGAAAGAAATAAACGTAAAAATAAAAAAATAAATAACACTCCACGAAAGAGTAGAACTCTCAAACACCACTAACCGCAGCGGTTGTAAACACCAGAGGAGATGGAACCGCCATCTACTACACATTCTATAGTGAACAACAGGTCATACATCGGAAGAAACGAACCCACTTTCGTCTTCCGCACAGACCCCTCTTCTTTGTGTTTTTTCAAAGTTCCGTCGGCATCCACACTCGATTTAGACAAGATTGCAGGTGATTTTTCCTAAATTCCTTCGCTTTTTGTCTTTACAATCAATTTCGATTGGATTATTATTGTTGGGTTGTCAATTAGAAAAAAACCTCAAATGAAGTATGAGATTTCAAATGCCGGGGCATTTGCGATTCTTTGTCCTAATAAACAACTTGGGTTTTGCATAGTGTGATTCTTCAGTTATTAGAGATTCCAAATTTTTAGAAAATGGAGTTTTTTAAATCCTCTCAAAGTAGTAGGATTTGGAAATGAACTCTACTGGAGAAGTAATTCATTGTGTTCAAATTTCACTGGGTAAGTTTAGTTTCATATTAATTTTGGTAGTTTATTTGTAGTCGTGCAGAAATCAAGGAGAAGACAACGAGGGAGAGGGAGAAATAGACAAATAGATATATTGACAAAGACTCTTCCTCTACATCGACTGATTCTTATTGCATATAACTTTCAATCTTGGATTCTCCATGATCTCTGCATTCTTTTCCAATGGTTGTCCACCATTAACCAAATTCATTTTTCCTTCTATTTTCATGTATGATTGTTGGTTATTTTCTTTTGAGTGAAAAACTTGGATTTGTTTCTTCTCTATGTAAGTGTCTTTATGTTTCCCCTTGCATTTGTTACATTCCAATGAAGCCCGTTGGTGAGGTTCTTATGCTTACAAGGAAACTCTTGGCTCTGGGGAGTTTTTGTTTATATTAATCCATTTTCCAATTATTTATCGTGCTTTTTCCATCTTTTGCTGCTTCAGGCAAAAAGAATGCACAGTGCAAAGCTTCCTGTAAGGCTATAAGAATCTAGACAAATCGTGATTGTTCTATCAATTAATGGAAATTTCTTCTACATTTGATTTTGCTTTCAATTCTTCTTTTTATTTTAATGAAATTTCTAATCTTCCTTTAATCATGATTACCTAATCGATTTCCCTTTCCGTTTTTTATCCGCCATTTTCTCTAATTTTGTTCATCAAGATGTGGTCTGCATTTTCTCTTTTCCATTGTATTTGAAATTCACTAATTCAACCTCAAATGGTTGTCGTATTCATCTCACATATATAAGCAATGTGTAGATCTTTCACCCAAGAGTTTGACAACGACTGTTGAATAGGATAAATACGCAGGTCGGTCGTGGAATTTCTTCTACTTTTGATTCTTTTTTTTTTTTTCCTAACCACCTTTCATAAGTGGAACTCTTCATTTTTCCAGTTTTGTTGAATTTATTTTCTGTTCACATCTTTCCTTTCGTTCACAAGTTTATTATTTCTGTTGGGTTCTTAATATGGATGAGTTGGTTGTGCTTATAACATATTAGCCAAAATGTTTAATGTAATATGAAGTTATATGGTCCGACTAATTTAGACGGATTAGGATGTTTCAACTAATTTCTATCCATTTTAGGAGGAGATAAAAAATCATAATAATTATCCTCTAAAAGATAGCAGTTATGGAGAGGAGGGAGAGATAAATGATAAAGGCAACAAAAACAAATTAAAAAAAAAAAGTCGAGAACATCATTTTAGGAGATAAATATTAAAAAATAAAGTTAAAAAAAGGCCACATGGTGAATAACTGCTTTCTATTTTAGGAGAGAGATATTAAACAGAGAAATTCAAATTTGTTATGTTGGGGAAAAAAAACAAATAAAACAACAAGAACGGAATAACTTCTCCTCCATTTTAGGAGAAAATATTAATATCTATATTAAAAAAAGTATCTAATACATTATACTAACATATGCATATGGTCCAACTAATTTAGACGGATTAGGATGTCTCCAACAAATTTCTATCCATTCTAGGAGGAGATACTAATATCTTATAAAATGATATATAGATTAAAAAAATAAATAAATAAAAAAATGAAACCAACGTGGGAGAAAGAATGGGGTAAAGGTTGCCGTGAGTTTTCAAAAAACCGTGAAGCTTGCCCACTACAAGCACTAACTTCCCCGTTCGTATAATCCCATTCTTTCTGTTCCTACTTATTTTCCCATATCCAAATTCAAATGTTAATTTTCCCCTCAGTTATACAACTGCTATCAACAGTTGTTGCTTGGTTTTACAGACTCTCACATTCCAACGTAGGATAAAACAGGTATTAAGCAACGCCCGATTCATCATTCTTCTTTATTTCAATTTTTTCGCTTTTTTGCTTTGCCATTCTTCTCCCACTCCCTCTCCCCAGGCGTAGAAAGGAAATTAATCTAGGTGTAAGCTTCTTTTTTTCACTTTTTTCCCTGCATGGTTGTACTTATTTTACACATTTTCATGTAAGCATAATATGTAATTGTATGAATATCCAGGTTTAGCTTCATATGGGTTCTTTTAACTTCTTCCTTTGAAATCTTCATTGTGTGTTTTTTAAAATTTCGGTCAGATTATGAGTTTCACTTTTGATTATCTTAATGTGCTATACGTGTGTTATGGTAATTTTAAAAATTATTTGTTTTCATTCTTAGGATATTTACAAGAATACCCACAAAAAATGAAGAATGAACCTATTGATAAGATCTCAAACAGACGTGTCTCTATTTTTACACCTGGTTGGGAGATATCTGTCGGAGTAAAAACTACTGATCTAAGCCAACTGATTCTCAAATAGTGGAAAAAGAAGAAGCATGAGCAGTATGTATCCTAAATTATATACAAATTTGTTACAAGAAATCTAACATTATATATACCTTCAATATATAGGTGGCGCATGAAAAAGGCTGTGGAAGAATTAAAACCTTCAACAACTCCTCAGATCATACGTATTTGGAATAAAGTCCAACAAATAAGGTACAACACCATTTCTTACCTATTTATTTTTAATGGCATTCTCTATATCATTCTACAAATTAATTATCTCAAATTATAAAATAAAATAAAACAATTTATGGGTGCAGAAAAAAGATTAACAGTGGCCAAACAACTTTTCTAAATACGGTAAGTCTTCTCTTATTTTCATACAAAAGTATACTATAAATTCAAATTGCATTCAATTTTCAAATATAAATAAAATTGCATTTTTTGTCAGTTTTACAAGCATCACACCCGTCTCAAAGTACAAAGGTTGAAGTACAAGATTAAGGTAATATTTCTTATTATTTAATTTTGTAAATATTGTTACAATTTGTTACCTCAAACTTGAAAAATATATTTATCTTTCAGTATTCTACAAGTAACTGGAGTAAAAGTATTGCCATGAGAAAATTGTCAAACTTAAAGGTATTTAGGTTAAGTTGCTTACAATCTTTATAGTTGGGATTGTGCATTATAGTTAGACTTCTTATTTTATCATCATTGCTTGCAGATTAACCATGAAAATCTAAAGCATCAAGTGCAAGCAAATGGGTGGCAAGCATGGCTTTGATTTCACACGTAGGCGCTATGTTTACATATGTACATGTTGTCCATATTTTGCTTTGCTTCATATATTAGGAGTTCATCCCTAGCTAGCCTATAACTTTGATTGAAAACTTATGAATCTGAAACATTTTGATTTAAGGACATTAAGTGTTGTCAATATGTATTTAGAAATCAAATTTCATGTCATATTTTCATATTTTTTTATTTATAAATAGTATATGTTTCCCATTTTATCTTCGTTGTTGTTTTAAAGAAAAAATAGTAAATAATGTATGAGAGATTACTCACATATGTGCAAATTGGATGGAATATATGCTCCTAAATTATTCAACAAATGTGGCAATATGACAATATGGCATGCGATAACACCATTATCACTTTGGAATGATGGGATGATTGTACGGTAACACCATTATCTCATCAACCTTTCTTCAACTCAAGCAATTGGAACTACGTAGCCTGACCCATGCTCTAATGTTGAACATCTCAGTCCCAACCCAAAATGGCACACTCATAATTATGTACTCACTCCTCTAACTGCATCAACTATCCCATTCACACAACCATTGAACAAATGATCTGCCAACCTGCTCGAATGACGCCAAATATTGCCCATAATACCTTTTTGTCCACCATAATAAAAAAATGTTGTTGTGCACCCTTTTAATACAGCCACTAATCCTCATGTTACAAAATATATTGATCATTTCATATTTTCCATACAACATTAAATAATTAAGCATATTTTTTTATTTTTTATATGAGAGTTTAAGGAACCTAACTCTTGATCTTCTTCTGTACAATATATAAGGGTAAAATGGTACTAATGGAGATAACAAAATTCTAACTAGACTGAGTAACTTAATTACCAAAGTCATAATAATGATCAAGCATAGCTCATTTCGTGAAATCAAATTCTATCAGCCAAACAGAAAAAAAAGACACCATAATAATTAGCAAGCAAAAAAAAAAAGAAAAAAAAGGTGGATTGGTTAGTGTACAATTCATAAATTTCATTTTTGGGTACAATGGGCAGGTGCAAAAAGACTAAGTTAGATGATTGAACATAATAAAAAATTGAAAATAATAAGAAATTATTGTGATGGACACAAACACAATTTATAAAATAATTACTTAAGAAATATACGAATATCTAAAACAACACATCTTTGGGGCGCGTAGCGCCTGTGATGCAAAAATGCCTCTCGCACGCATGTTAGTGCGTGCAGAGAGGCTAGTATATATATATATAACAACTATATTATTTATGCAATATCAACATTATATCACAATATCTAAAGAAACATCAATGCTTCGATGCTGTATTAACACCGTCAACAAACTATATACACAACGCATCACTCATGTATCAACACAATATCTACATCTTCCTTATATGTCACATTATCTTTTTAACATGATTAACAAAGTAACATCTTACTAATTAATCCTTGGACATTACTATAGATTCGACAAATGATAAAGATAGAAGAAATCTAGATCTAACAATGGTGAAGGACGAAATCTGATGCTGGAAATTCGATATAAATGTAGCATTGAATATGAAGACGCACCGTAAGTTGGAAATTCAAATCTAACAATGGTGAAAGACAAAATTGCTACGACGTGATGTATTGGATTTCCATCCATACATCCTAGATTTAAAACTCACATCTCTCCTATATTATGTTACTGGTTTCAAATTCTCCCTCTCCGATTAATAATAATAATTTAAAAAACTAGATGGAATAAAAGCCAACAGGTGAGAATTAATGGTATCATTTCTTTTGGAAATTTATATAGTCACGTGATATGACCTTACACGCTATATATGGCATGGTTTTTGTTAAACATTTCGTGGTCCAACAATTCTTTTATTTTCTATGAAATGACAAATCGGGTCTGAATCTAAATTCTGCTTTGAAGCCACTCAATCATACAGGTTCTATATATATATATATAACCCTAATGTATTGTCATTTGTCAATGTCACAATTGTAAATTGGTGCTTCAAATCTTTCATATTTGCTATATCATGCAGAGAGTATCCCTTCTTTCCCGTTTCATGACACGAATCTTTCACATTTACTTTGAATTGGATATTATGATTGAAGAGTATATAGATGTGATTTAATATTTTAATCTCAGCTCCAGCAATCAAATTCACAGGTATATGACCGCACGCATTCTCGTTTGACATGCAGAATTGGGTTGGGATGTATAACTCCATAATTTTAGGACGCGTTTACGTAAGGGTAATCGGAATCAAGAAACGGAATTGAATTCCGATTACGGTATACTTCGGTGTTTACCAAATTTAGAGGAATCAAAATTTAGTGGGTCCTACTCAAATTTTGGAATTCAATTCCAATATTTGGCTGATTTAGATTCCCAACATAGAGAAGGTATTCGGATTCCGGATTGCTTGGGCAATTGGAATGCTAATTTTTTTTTCCCTTTATGCCCTCACTACTTTCATTATTCTCAAGATTATCCTTTTAACCTAGACTGCATTTTCCTTTTCACCTAGCTCCTTTCTCTCTTCTCTCAGCCGCATGCCTTTCATGTGTGATTGCTGCTTACCAATTTGTAGAGCACATCCACCAGCTTGGAAGAATTGGCTAAAGATTTTTCGAGTCTCCATTATTTGCTTAAAGATAGGAAGTTCTCCACCTTCCATGTGAAGGAACTTCTTTTCCCGTTCTTTTCCACCTTCCATGGAAAATTTTCATCAGTTCACTCTCGAAAACACAAGCTGAATAGTTATGTTGTCTAACACATGTATAAAACTGTATCATTCCACCATATGGAATTTCAAACTGTTCATGACATACACAATCCTAAGAACAAAATGAGCACGCCTAAGCATAGCTCAAGTAACATCGAGCACAAGGAGCAGGTTATAAACAATATATGCAAATCATGGTGGTTTACGCTATCTTAGCTAGCATTAATACATATTTGATTTGGGACAAAAGCATTTTAGTAATCATACTAGTTTATATTCCGATTTTGCTAAATTAGTAAATAGCTTTATGAAATTCTATTCTGATTCTAGAACATTTAAGTAAACAGTTTCAACAGGAATCTAATTCTGACTTCTCCTCGTTCCAACTCCTTCTCAATTCAATTCCTCTTATTTTCATTACGGTTACATAAACGCGCCCTTAAGGTATATTGAATACAAAAGGAATGACTTTTCATTTGAGGGGGATTGGAAGAGGATTAAACATGAAAGAAAACTTTTACCTTTTGGAGAGGATCGGAATGGAGGAATTTTCTTCAAGTGTAATTCATCATCTACCCTCTAGTTAGTCATAAAATTTTCATTTCTCACACCTCAAAAGACCTTGTAATTAGAGAGTTATCATTTTCAATCCAATCCCCGCATACTAAACAAGCCTCAAAATTATTATAGCACCTAAGTTAACGCGAAAGACCTTTTTTTTAAAACGAGTGTAAGTAAGTATTTCTCCATCAATCGATGTGCTTATGTTATAGCACATGACCTTCGAGAGCTGTCTGCAGTTAGAAACAAGTATATTATATTGGCAGTCGGAGGAAACATAAGTCCTTGCGTATACGTTAGGAGTCTCTTGCAAAAAAAAAAATGGTGCCACTTCTTTCCTGTAGCCAAATTAAGCTAACTTACGTTGTAATCTCTCTACCTTGGTGTAGGCAAGTTTTTCTTCCTTCCGACGGTTTCGTTAGTATCTCATTAACATAAATATCTTATATTATCTGACAGTTGGACAACAACAGATAATTTATTATCACCATTTGGGAAATCTGCAAAATGATAAGCTTTGTATAAACAAACTTTCAGATGACTTTTGTCTGCGCAGTTCCTTCACTATCCTTGGAACCGAATGCTAACCCCGGGCTAGGATAACATTCAAAAGTGACCCACAAATATACACAGAACCCATCAAAATAAATTCGCTTATACGGCCATTCTCGAAGATTTTCAGCTTTTTCTCAAGCTTCTTCCCACCAGGCAGTACGGAAATGATCTTCTTGAAGAACTCGACACACTTAGCAGCAAGGCGGGAGGCTTGGCGCTCACGAAACGGGGCGTTTTTATTTGTAATTTGGCCAAGTTAGTTCATGTTGGTAACCTGAGATCGATGTAATAAAAGGAAAATGAAATACACAGAACGATACAAAGAAGATTAACATGGATATTCTGCACTAAGACGACACGTATAAATCGAGAAATACAGACTTTTTATTTTTTATTTTTGAATACATCGATATTCTTGCACAAAGGGGAGAGGAAGTTCAGCTAAGCTACATAATGGACAGCTTAATTTGGTATCGAATTCGCCATCTACAAGATTCGAACCTAAGACCTTTCATTTTCGAGTGAAAAATAATACTATTAGACCGTAGTACTGAGTGACGAAAAATACAAACTTAAAGCCTGCTGTACAGCAACAAAAGACGAAATAAACGAGTCCATTTCACAACACATTGCTTCCTCCGCACTATCCTTGAAGCAAATGGGATGCGATGGCCCAAATACCTTGGAAACAAAACCAGACTAAAAATTCGGCAAACATTTCAGCAGTCCAGGGATCCAGCGATCCTCCTTCGAGAGGTTAGGCTCCTTGTCAAGCTTCTTAACGGACACAGAGATACCAACCACCTTTGTGAAGACCTGACCAGGGTGTGGGAAGGAATAACTGCGTGCAAGGAGCCGAGCATTTTTCATTAGGCGGGAGGAGGCGTGGCGGGAAAGGGAGGAGAGGGGAATGAAAGTGAAGGTGGAATTTTTCTTTCCCTAACTTGATACAGAATTCAGATACTCGAAACAAAACCTAAGCTGTTAGTGAAACACGGATACATCCAGGGGCGCTTGATTGATAAACTAGGACTGGAATGGGCTATTTAACACCAACCTAGGTATGAACCAAACATGGAGTTCATTAAGAAGGGGATAAGCTAGGATTACAACTTTCCTATGCGGGCTTGTTTTAGGCCATACAAAATGAGGGGCCTAAATAGAACCAACCGAACCCAGGCCAATCGCTACAATTCCATGCATCAAACGTTCCCTTATACTACTTCCACGGACCCTAAGATTCCGATACTATGTTTTGTGCAGTACTTATGGACATTGTTTATGATTGTACATTACCTTAAACAAAGAAACAGTTCTCCTCCTAAACAATGGTCTTCACCTGGATTGATTGGAACGCCATCGGAGTAGCGCGGGAAGGAGTGACATCCGAGACCACCAAGACCCAATCTCCTTGTTTCACCAATCCCTTTGATTTTAGGAGATGGATGGTGCTTGAGATGTTAGACTCCGTATCATCCGATAGATCAACAAGAAGAGGGATCACTCCCCACTGCAAATTCAGAGCCATACGGGTGCTTTCATCGTTTGTGAAAGCAAATATGGGAGGGCTTGGTCTGTTTCGTGACAAGAGCGATGCCATGTGCCCATGCTTGGTGTAAACAAAGATTGCATCCACAGCGAGGTTGTTAGCTGCACATGCAGAAAAAGTTGGTTAATTGTAACTTATGGGAACAATACATACCATTTAGACTCTGAAAATTTTCTTTGATTGGTTTCTACTTTCATAGATTCACAGAAGCGAACATCATTGGTATTTTTTTCCGGGATCCTGCCCTTATTATTTCTCTGATTCAACAATCAATTACAGATACAATTCTGACAAGTTCGTATGAAGTTTTTAGTAAGGTAAACCAGCATAGCATAAAATCTTCCAATGTTCTTCAGCAGGACTATTAATTTATCATAAACTTAAGTCACTGATTAGCCGATTTTCAAAAGAGACTTAAATCGAGAAAAAAAGAGGATGTGGGAAAAGTGAAAGTACCCATTTCAACAGCTGAATTGCATATCTGCTCAGCAATGCGGTCAGGCAACGAGACTCCTAGTTGGCGCTGGAGGAGAGAACCTTGCTGGTTTTCCACACGACTCCATGTTTCCATTCTACTGCTGGTTGTTTGAAGAACAGAAAGAGCCTTCTCTCCAAATAATCCAATTGCTGATTCCCCGGCCAACATCAATGCATCTGCATATTGTCGAACAGCTTCTGAAACATCTGCAACCTTTTGAGAAGTAGCCATCATAACGTGATTAATTTTCTCTCTTGCTGCTCCCCATGCAACAGCAATAATCATCATAATTACAACAGTTCTAGGAGACCCTAATCGTACCTCAGCACGTGTTGGAGTTGGGTATTCGATCATTGACTCAAGAAACTGAGAAGCTACAATTACCGGCTTGTTTAACTGCCTGCAGACATTGGTTATTTCCTCTTGGACTGTTGGAATCTGTTCAAGTGGAATCTCAACTCCAAGGTCAACTCGCGCAATCATGATTCCATCAGAAGCCTTTATAATTTCTTCCAAATTCTGAAGGGCCTCCAAACTCTCAATCTTTGCCAAAACTCTTGTGGATCTGCAAAGGGAGACCTCAGTAGTTTTCATATTTGGAGTTCCAAAGGATAATCGCAAGAGGTGCGGATATAATTAGTGGCTTCTAAAAAACACGGTAAGGATTTATATCTGATTGAAAGACTGCTTGACTCAAATCATAAATGCTTGAGAATCTGATGCCAAATATCATATTGTTGAAAGAATCCACCACATTATGCAAGGAATAAAATTTCCAATGAAATATAAAATGTTGAACCATAACTGTCTACTGCCTTACTTGGCTGATTTGGTGATGAGGTAATTCTTCAAATGCTTCACAGATTCAGCGTTGTTTACAAATGACATCGCAATAAAATCGATACCTTCAGAGATTCCGAATTCAATGTCAGACCAATCCTGCAAAACAAAATGAACATGAGCATCAAAATGTATAGACGAACTTAAAAGCAAAATTTACTTTCACTAAGACAAGCCAGACAATTTGAAAAAGAAAATGTAAGAACATTGTACAGATACTGACCCTAGTAGACAGAGTTGGGAGGTCATAGTTCCTCTCCACAAGCTTCCCATCTCTCCAAAAGCTGAATTTGGCTCGAGGCAGGAATAGACCGGGGTCTGTGCACTTACAACGCAGGTCGCTTCCTAATTTTTCAATGACTTCAAAGCGTGCCATTCCTCCATCAATAACAAGTTCATCACCCTCTTTGATACCTGCCAAAAAAAATTACATGGAAATCATCAATGCAAAATGCAACTTCCACTCCAATAAAACTGCCAAAAATACATTGCAATTTCGTCACTTACCATCAGAAAAACCTTCATAATTTGCTTGTACTGTGAATGGAAGGGAACCTTCAAAATTTTCAGTGGTAAATAGCCAGATTGAATCCTCCTGATAATCCAACAAAAATACAATTCAATCAAATTAACATTTTTTTTTCCTTCGGATAAAATTTATGAATGGGCAACTCTCCTAACCTGAACTTTAAGAGAGGATGGAGCTCCATGATCAACAACATGAATCTGAGTACCTTCGGTATCGATCATAACAGAAACAGAAAACCCCTTCTCCTCATTCAACCTTTTGATCTTCCTAATGACGTCGCGGTGCCACTCCCGCGTGTTGTGACACATATTCAGCCTTGCCACATTCATCCCTCCCAAAACCAACTTCTCCAAATCCTCCACAGAAGAACACACCGGCCCAATTGTGCACACAAGCTTGGTCTTCCTCAACCCCAAAAACCCCTTCTCCCTCAACTCCCTCTCCGACACCACATCAAGATCCAAACTCTTCAAACTTTTCAAACTCTCTGCCGCCGCCAAACCCACTTGCACCGCCTGCACTCCACCACCACCAACTTTCCTTTTCAATTCTTTCCCAACACAGGACACCCCATGATGCAAAACGGGCACTCCAAAAACAGTTTTCTGTAAGTTGGCACTTGGGTTATTGGCTTTTACACCAAAACACGTATGGATCGAATGGTCCGCGACCGCCATGGATTCGACGAATTTGAAGTGAACTTTCTTGATCAAATACCAGAAAGAAAGAACAAGATAAGGAGAAAGACTGATTTTTTGTGAGTAATGGAATAAAGGGTATTCAGAGAATTAAGTTTTGTAGATGAATATTGGGGTTTGTTGGATCGAAAACTCCGTCGAGGATTGGACTTTGTTCGGAGATTACAAGAATAGGAGGAGGCAGAGGAGTTAGGCTTCAGTGCTTCACAGCGTGTAAGAATATACGTCAACAAAGAGGAGAATGAAAAGAAAATAGAGGCTTTTTTTTTTAGTCTCATGATATGTTAACAATAAAGGGTTAAAAAGATGGGAAAATTTAATAACTGACAGTCGTTAGAAAATGTGCCAGTCGTGGTGGTAGCGGTAGCGATAGTCGGAAGAAAATACTCTAGTAGTTGTGGCCCCGCTACTATCGCTGCTGCCATCGCCACCACGGTATGTGGTGGTGGAAAAAAAATTTAGTATACCAAAAACACAGTCTGATACATAAGTGTAATAATACAATTAAAATTGGGACAAAGAACAAATAACCTTAAATTCAAAACCTAACATTATATTTGCATATAGTTCTTTACTACAGGGATGAAAAACATTTAAATCTTTACATCTTGATACATGTTTGATCCGAACAACTATCTTTTCTCCTAACAATTAACTTCTAACTTACTATGCAGGTCAAAGGAAAAACCTAACACCTTTGACCCAAAGAAAAAAAAAATTAAAAAAGAAACCTAACACTATATTTAACGCATGCGAATTTATAAATTTTCTCTTTTGTCCACAATTTAAATTTATTTGTATGATTTTAGGTTTGAATTTTGAGGCATTGAATATTTGAACAGTGGGGACCAAATGGAAAGGGGTAGCGAATCACTACTAGGTCCGAATTTTAACGGTCAACTGCCCTTTCCGGATGGGGCAGGGGAACAGGGGGCACGTGAGTTTTGAATGTGTACGGATTTTGCAGACATGAGAAAACAGCTGTGTTTAGGTCATAGGTGGTCCTAAAGCACGAGAGATGTCCAGAGTAGGAATCTCACGTTCAGTCTTTAGAGAAATTTTTTTTTTGCATGCGCTTAAAATAGTTAGTTACTCAACATATTAATCTTTTTTGGGAAAAAATAATGTATTTTTCTAGTAAGTGAGAGGTCTTAAGTTTGATTATTGTAAAAAACGAATTTAAAGCATATTATTTTTTAATTAGATCCAATGATTGTAATTCCACATCTGTATTGTCATTCCTTTTTTTTTTTTTTTACGTCATTTTTTATCATTTTGAAATTACGCTTAATCTTATCATTTGTTTATGATAATCCTTTAATTTCATGAAAAAAATAAATGATTATTCTCTTCAATTTCATCTTATTAAAACATATGCACGTTGATCTTCTTCCTCTTTCTTCAATCCTCATCGTACAAGTTCATTATTTGAAATACCTAAATAATAGATGCTCAATCAATAATAATTTCCACGGAAAGAATGGTAAAATTCAAGCAAATTTTAGACTAGAATTTCCACCAATTCAGGAAGACAAACATTAACTTTAACAAGAAGATAAGTTTAAAACCCAACAAATTAGCATAATCTATATATATATATATATATATATATATAAAGTGAGCATCCTAAAATGATGAAACATTCAAAATATTATTATTTAAATAAAAAATATATAAAAATGCCAATTACCACATGCGTATAACTATGGAAGCTTCTGACCGAGAGGTATTATAAACCCCATTTCCTCTCCCCAAGCCCAAATACAAAAAAGAAATAAAAAGCGATGACCGCAGCAAATTAACAAACCCATTCGCCAGACCCTTCTCCCCAACGATGGTACATAATAATAAATTAATTTTCCCAAATCTAATTCACTTTAATTTTTGGATGAGTTGTGTTAAAACCTACAATGACAATTGACGTAATTTATTTTAAAATCATGAACACTTTAGTTGTTGACGTCTACTTACTAAACCCCACTTATAAGAATGTAATACTAATAGATTTTATTCAAAAGAGACATATAAAATTAAACCCATATTAAAAACTTCTAATTTCAATAGCGTTACTACTTCAGTAGATGCTTATAATGGATTAAAATTTTTTGCCAACATACGAATAGGTATTTAGCATGTGACGCGGGTTAGATTTTGATGGCAAAGTGACTTTGCCAGCTGGCTTCTTGGATTTTGGTTTTGGAAATCTAAATCCATTTCCTTGTTGCCGCGGATTCAGAGCCCACCAAAGTAGGAGGCCGAAAATGAAATGAGTTGTCTGATTTCTCTCATGAAGTAGTAAGTTTTGACTACTTTATTCTTAATTATTGATCGGGTTTATTTGTTGATGGTTTGAATTATTATATATATATATATATATATTTTTTTTTTATAGATTTGTTAGAAATATAACTTTATTTGTTGTGATATATGTTTTAATACATATTATGATTGTGTAAATTTTAAGTAGAGATAGATTAGAAATCTTTTGGGATCTAGAAGATATTTTCTTATAGACTTTATATTATTTAGAAAGCAAGTTTTTCTCATTCTTATTATTATAAATAAAGGCACAAAGATAGGAGAATTAATATACAATTCCTCAAGCCTATTCTCCATCTCTCTCCTTACCTTTGTTGCACTCATCAGTTAAATATAGTCAACAACACGTTATCAGTACCTTCCTTCGCTGCACTAAGGAATATGATGTGGTTATTCTTCAATCAGGGAAGTATTACATTTCAATTATTCTTAATTGATTAAATTTTGATTATATTGAATTCATGTAGTCTATTGATTCAATTTTAAATTTTTTATGTTGAACGTGATACAAGTTTTGAAGATGGAAAGCTGAAACCCAAAGAAATAACTCCTACAAACCTGTTCACAATATTCATCACGCAATATAGGTTCTTCTAAAACAACGATATTTATCTTGATATTTTTTTCAGCCTTGATTGTATGAACATTCATCATAATGCATGACTTAACTTTACATTTTACAAATTTTAGATTCTACATAAATTGTGTATGCTTTATAATCATAATATTGCTATTATGTGAATTAAATAAGTGTGAATAAAGAAAAAAAAAAAAAAAAAAAAAAAAAAAAGGGATGTTGAAACCCTAGAACTTGTAATATGCTTAGATGCCCTAGTGTTTGCTTTAGACTGGGCCTGATCTACAGATCTTTAGCTTGAGCATGTAGCTCGCGCTGGAGCCGCTGAGCCGAAGCTCGCGCTAAGCCAGACACAAGGGTCCCAAACAACTTGTCGTTCATGTCGTCTTCTCCGTCCACCTTATCGCCTTTGTGCGATTTTCCGTTGAGATATTTGATCTCCGACAACACAGATGACACGCAGTGGCTTCCAGGTAAGACCCACGATTTTCTGATGACATGAAGTCCTCACAGTGGTGAAAACCGACAACTAGATATCGTCCAATCCCCTCCCTGAGATTAAGGCTTCAAGTTTTCCTTCGAAATTTCTACAAATTTCAAGATTTCTCACTCCTTGGATGTTTAGAACCCTTCCCCATTGAAACCCCGTTCGATTTTGCTTGGAACTCTCTGCCGCCTACAGCGCCATGCCTGGTTTCATCAATGGCAGCACACCTAGGTTTTGCTAGGGTGTCCGTAACTCGACTTGAGGACTTGGGGCCTCTCGATGCTCAGCCCAGTTGCCCAGCCCACTGTCTTGGGCTTAAATAGATTGTCCTTAAGTTTTTGGGCCTCTATTTTATTTCAAAAAATAAAAATTTAAATAAAAAACAACAACAACAACAAATGTCCTCAGCCCCAGTTTTGGGCTTAGGACTTCGCGTCCCTTTTTGATTTTTTTTAGACCTGCTGCATCAACAGCCTGCCTAGCAGCTCATTCTAGGATTGTGCTCATGGCAGCATAGAGAATGGAAGTTTACCAAATTCTCGGATGAGATTACTATCACACTTGTGAGAGAAAGGTATCCTAGCAATTTGGCTGAGAGGTACCAAACGGTATTGACCCAATTTCAGCTGGAGTCTATCGAATGGTGGTGCCCTGCTTTGGCAGGGATGCACCAATATGCATGCTCTACTTCGACAGAGATGCACTAAAAGGTATGCTTTGCTTCAGCAGAAGTGCACCAAACGGTATTACTCTGCTTCGGCAAAGATGCACTGAATGGCATGCTCTACTTCGGCAGAAGATCACCAAAAGGTATTACTCTACTTTGACAAAGGCCTACCTAACCCAAGCTTAGGTGTGTCTATTTTGTTTTAAAACATATGGTAGAATTAGAGTCTGCCAAGAAGTGGTATCACGCCCGAAGCATGATCTTTAACACCAAATACCTAAAACTTCAAGAATAAGGGATAATATTCCCGACCCTCAACCTTGCAGCATCTAATTCCATTTTGACGAAATAGATCATTGGGCATGCACTTTTCTGTGCTCCTACCAATGTTGTTGAGGAGTAACATTCTCGTAGTCAATCTGTGAGACTAATTTTGCTCCACCCAACATATTTGGCGGGTGAAATTTTGACATGGAAGGCCATATTGGCCGAACTCCCTTTGTATATTTGATTTACTTTGTGACCAATTTATTTGTTGTCGAATTTAAGATTGGTGTTTGGATGTCACTATTTTTCTTGAATAAGAGTTAATTAACGAAAATTACCACGTGTGACTAATACAATTAACTCATGCTTAGGTATGTTTTATGGGGAAGTTAGTTGTATGGTTATATGCTAACTTTATACCTAATCACCCCCTGACAACTTTTCAGGCTTATCCAACTTGATTATGGGGTATGGCACTAGCCTATATTGTCCAATGCTACTAATTTTACCATACAGGGAAGCCTTATACTCACTTCGTTTTGGTAGAACACCTTCTTTGAGTTTTAAGGATATTCAAGAGCATTATTATCATATTGAAACCAATGTAGAAAATGGAGTAAAATTCCTTTGCACTTCCTAAGAATATAACCAAAAGCGTATTCTAGAGAAGATGGACTGCCTAACGAGCGATTACACTCATTTAGGCCCATTATGTGGCCAACCAGAAGCCCGAGATTCTAAAGGAATTTTTGCTATGGATGTATGTTTGGGATATCTAAGATGATCCATGATGCACCGTTTTAGGCATCCCCTTACCAGAAGCAAAGACATCATACCTAGAAGCGTACCATGCCTTAGCACCCTCCATTTTTTCTACAAAGGATTCAAAGGGACATTTATGGATTGATTCAATCACTATGCGGACCATTTAGATAC